TAAATAAATTGGTTTTGACTTGATGGCACAAAACACTTACTTTACAGTAAAAAGGTTTGAGATTTTTAAACTGCACACCACACATTTTTTTGCTAAGTACAGAAATGTGTCATTGGGGATCAAGGCCAAGATTGCCCATGCTAAGGTAGTCATGATTACTATGTGTGGATGTGGAAGCTGGACAGAGAGGTGACAAGGGGGAAAAAACTGATTCATTTGCTATCTGGTCTTGGAGGAAAGCTTTACAGAGGCCACAGAATGCTAGAGAGAAACATAAGTGGTTTGTGAATCGAATCAAATCTGAATACTCACTAGAAGCTAAAATAACCAAACTATGCTATTTTGGCTGTACAGTCTCAAGAGAAGGCAAGACCCACTGGAGAAGGCAGTAATGCTCGGAAAAGTGAAAGGCAGTAGGAGAAGAGGAAGATTTTAACATGACAGGGATTGACTCAGTAAAGGAAGCCATAACCTGATATATTTGGACAAGGGTGGGAATTGACAATTTAAAAAAAGTGGCATTTCTAAATCCTGGTTGTGGGTCCTCACTCATCCCATACATAAATACCTGGTTTGACGTCTGAGTGTGCGTCGGTGTGCAATAAAAACAGCCTCATCTGCCTTCGGAGCAGGTGCAGAAACCGCTACGTATGATTCAGGGGGACCACGAAGAATTGGCAAGAATATTCAACCCAGGCTGCAAAAGGGCAGAATATCCAACCTAGGCCATCTGTCCGTAACCCTGAATAATACTAATCCACAGAAGGATGGACTAAATATGCTGCAGTTTAGGACTCTGAATGATGAGGGGCCTGTCAATACAAAAAAAAACCCCACACAAGAGACTTTTAAATGTACAGTGGTGCCTCGCTAGACGATTGCTTCGTTTAACGATGAATTTGCTTTATGATTAGGTTTTCGGAGTGATCTTGCGCTGCGTTTAACAATGTTTCCTATGGGCGATTTTCGCTTTACGATGTTAGGGACCTTGCATCGCAAGACAGTTAAATTTTAGGTCCCTGTTTTCTCTTTATGATGTTTTGACAGGTCAGGTTTGCTTCGCTAAACAGGTTTTAAATGGTCGCTGTTTCATTAGACGGCTGTCTTCGCTTGGGAAACGCGTTTTGCTTAACGATGTTTCCTATGGCGATTTTCGCTTTACATTGACAATCCGTTCCCATGGATTATCCGGTTTTCAATGCTTTTCTATGGAAAACCGTGTTTCGCTTAACAACGATTTCACTTGACAGCGATTTTTGCGGAATGCATTAACCTCGTCTTGCAAGGCACCACTGTAATGGAATCGTTTAAAGACTCCTGCTGTGGAGCACAGGCCAGGCCCTTAAAGCCTTCAGGCTCCCTTGTGTTTTCTGATAGCCCTTGGCTCCACATTACAATATTGGGTTGCAGGTCCCCTTTGCTAAGGGCGCCTCCGTGGTCGGTCCATGGTCATCCCCTGACCAAAACGGTGGCCACGATCGAAACGAAAGGAAACAACGAAGACCCAGAGAAGAGGAGGCCTGAATGGGGAGCCGCACGAAAGGCCAGCTGAGGTCAGGAAGACCGGAGGGGGCAGAACTCCGAGAGGCAATCCATGGTGATGCCTGGAAAAGCGGACGCTTCCCAACGGGCGGCAGGAGTCACTGATCCTGCAAATACGGCACAACGGCTAAACGAGCACGGGGGGGGGCATCTGGCAAGAGAAAAACCCCAACATGAAATCCAGGAAAAAACTATTACGTGCGGGCAGGAAACCGTCCGGCTGTCGGTCCCCAGGCGCGAGCTGCCTTCTGACATCGTGTGGCTACCTCGTTTGACTCTTTGGGGGCTCAAGAGCTTATCGCAGGAGAAGATGAAGGATTAAAATAATAATCAGCGCCATCATCCTAAAAAGGCACTCTCCGTATTGCTGGGGAGAGCTTTCTTTTATTATTATTGTTTTAAATGTCAAAGGTCAGACTTCATGTCTGTGCTCCTTTCTCCACCTTAAAGATAAATGCGCGTGTGTTTTAATGCCGGCTTAATAACAAGAAACGTCTCTGGTCTTCGGTTTACTGTGTCTGCTCATGATACAATGCAAGCAAGCTGCTATTTTCTTTGGACCATGGAAATAAGTAACTAGTTAACAAATAACTAGTTAATTGTGACTAATTCCTTTTTTTGTAACCAAGGGGCAATTAAGCAACTAACATGAGAGGTTAATTTATTTGTTTTATTGACAGACTGCCTTTCTCCCAATAAGAATGACAATCTAATGAGGGATAACTTCTCTCGTTTTGCGGTGTAACCTTTTATTTATTTATTTATCTTAGATTTATCTATATTATTTCTCTATCTAAGATTTATCTATCTTTATTAGTTACTTTTATCATTACGGGGCTGTGGTTACACCATATGGTGATGGAGAATACTTGTCCTCACTGTGCCTCATTCTGATTTATTTAAATATTTAAATTATTTTTACCCCACCTACTTAAAAAGGACCTAAGGCGGCTAATATCATTAAATGCTACCAGTGAGTATACACTAATATCATTTAAAGCTAACAGCAGTGAGTATACAAATATTTAAAAGGATCAAATATATTAAAAAGCATAAGCAACACCAAAACATAATCGAAGCACTAAGGTACAACGATTCATTTATAAAACCCCTCTCATGCAGTCAGTACCTCAGGGAAAGCCTGTCTGAAGAGAAAGGTCTTTGCCTGCTTGTGAATGGATGCTAAAGATGAGGCCAGCCTAACCTCTAGTGGGAGGGAGTTCCAAAGTCTGGGAGCTGCCACAGAGAAGGCCTTCTCCATCATCACCAAACACACCTATGAGGGTTGTAGGACTGAAAGAAAGGCCTCTCCTGATGAACTTAACACTCAGGGAGGTTTATAAAGGGAGATGAAGTCCCTGAGATGGCTTGGACCCAAGCCGTTTAGGGCTTTATAGGTGAGAACCAACACTGTCCCCAAAAATGGATCGGCAGCCGTTGGAGCGGCTGTAACTGAGGGGTTGTGGGAGATCCCACCTGTCTGCTGTGGTTTGGATCCACTGAGGCCTTAGGCTCTGCTCAGAGGTGGGACATGTTTGATCCCTGGATCACAACGAGCGAAAGTCCACAGTGAACGTGACCAAAAATGCCGAGGTGGACAGAAGGCCAGCCTGTTTCGCCCCCACAAGCGATATTAAGGGGGGGGGGTTTCTTATGGCCTGTGTGACTGCACCCAGAGATCTTAAACAAGAATCAGGTGCCGAAGAGAAACAGGTAGTGATGGAAGAAGGCACAGAGGAGCTGGTAAAGGAAGGAAACTCAACTCACAGCTTTTCACGGAGTCGAACATGCCCTCTTTGCCAATGGCCTCGGCTTCCCACTGAGATTCCTTCATCTGGAGCAAAAGAAAGAAGCGGATCATTCCTCTCATCTTTCCAGAGTCAGGAATACTTCGTGGTCTGTCATTATTTCCTGATTCCCAACAGCAGAAGTTCAACCTGTTACAATTGGAATTGGAATTGAAACAAGAACCTTCTCTCCTTTTGCAGCGTAGCTCCTTAACCAGTTACAGGGGCCAGGCCTCCCTGGATGAAGGTGGAAGGGGTACCGCATGGCCTGTGGGGTCTCATGTGTTCTTTTAATAACCCTCCCCCCCAAAAAATGAATTGTTTTCTTTTTTTCCCCAGAGTAGGAAATGTTCTGAGAATTCCAGTAGTGCCGGCTGGGGAATTCTGAGAGTTATCGTCCAAAAAACAAAGCAAAACCAAAAACAAACAAATAAACAAAAACAAAAAAAAACAAAAATAAATTAGTATTTGCCATCTCTGGAAAAAAATGTTCAACCAGATGGAGATTTGCACCTGGTTGTCTGCTGACGTTACCGGTAGTTTTCCTGCCATCTCAAAGATGCAAAGCTTCTACAGGTAAGAGCAGTGGCTTTCTGTGTTTTCTTAAAACTACCTTCATTAGGGATTTTTCTCTGTCCTTTGCCTTTTCACTCGTCTCCCACTGTGGTCAACCAAAAGTCTATGAAATTTCTGCAAAAGAGGCTTAAATTGACATTTCTGCCTCCTGCTATTACTTCCTAGCATCTGGCACCTATAGATAGACTGCTCTTGAAAATGGAGGCTTCGTTTTTTGCTCTACTGATTAAGAGCCAGGGATAGAGCCATGATGTGATCTAGGATAAGAGTTCCACAGCCCAGATCCTTCCAGATGTAGACCTCACCTCTGGAACAGTCTACCCCCAGAAATTTGTCCGGCTCCCTCGCTGGGCGTTTTTAAGAGCAAACTTAAGACCTGGCTCTTTAGGCAGGCCTTCCCTCCTGTCATTACTTAATTTAATTTTGCCATCTTGAATCATATTATATTGTTGTTCTATTTTATACTGTTTTTGTTTTTATGAATGTGTTGTTAGCCGCCCAGAGAAGACTTCAGTCTAAATGGGCAGGGTATGAATGAATGAATGAATGAATGAATGAATGAATGAATGAATGAATGAATGAATGAATGAATGAATGAATGAATGAATGAATGAATGTAAGAGACACAACTAGCTAGCCCCAAAACCCAGGATATCTGGAATCCAGGAGAGGAAGCCTCATGCTTTTTCTGCCAGGAGCAAAAGTTTTCAGGGATATATTGTCTTTGAAATACGAAAAGGATTGTAGCCGTCCAGGATTTGAACCCAGGACATGAAGTGAGAATCATATCCCATGGCCAGAGACCAGGTAGACTTCTTTCCGTAGCCACAGCATCGCCTATGGATGGCACCCAGAAACCTCTTGTGCCCCCAAGTGAGAAGCATCTCCCAAGATCTACAACCTCTCCCCACTGCCACTACAGGGGTTCTAAAATATATACCCCAACCCCTGCAAACTCTCAGCTAATATTTGTCTCAAATCTCATTATTTTCATGTCTCGTCCGAGCCAAATCTGGTGTGCTACACAACCTCAAAGACCAGCCTTGCCCAAATTTGCAGTACAGGTGGGCCGCCATATCCACAGGATCAGTACCCACAGTTTCACTTATCCACTGTCTGAAAACACTGAATTAAAAAAAACTCAGAAATACAGATTTCCAAGGTGTATTACCAGAACTGGTCACTAGAGGGAACCAGATATTATGCTACACAGAGAGAGTTTCTTAATATGTGCAATTTTCAGCATCCACAGAAGAGTAAGGGAGGCTTGGAACCAACTCCCTACGGATGCCGAGGTCCTACTGATTATATAATTGGATTCTAACCCATATCCTTCTTCATACCTTGATCTGTTCTTTCAGGTATTCTGCTCGGCCCATCAGTGTCTGAATCTGCTGACACAAAATGAAAGTGGTCATCCTTTCATGCTGATGATTTGGGGAGAGGAAAAAGAAAAGGGGGGCTGCAACTCACAGTACAGCAGGATGGGAAGGCAAGCTGGCAACCACTCTGCTGACACTAAGCACCCTGATACGAGGCGCCTTGTGTTCCATGGGAGAAAAGGGGCGTTTTTGAGGGGTATCCTTCCCTACATGTCTAAAAATCAGGCACTGACTGGCATTGCACTTGTGGCCTAAGGGGCATGGTGTCCGGACAAAAATGAGGCCTCGACAGGCTCAGGAAATTCAGAACTACAAAACGCTTTTTTGGGGAAAACACAAGCATTAAAATCAAAGGAGGAGAGACCCCAAACAGCCCAAGTAAGACAGTGCACTGCTCAGTGGCTAGAACATGGTGAATATCTATGGGAGGGAGGAGGGAAAACAGGGTCGGAGGAGGAACAGACTGGAGTATGTCTCGGCTGTTGGAATATAAACTGAAGCACTTCACACTGCAACATTTTGTTGCAGGTCCGTGGCCAGAGAGGTAGCCAGCCAGACACGCACCTGCCCGCAAATACATAATGGACATTCGCTCTCTCCCCATAAAGAGCGGCTGTAAAATTGATGGGTCTCCCAACTGAACAATCTGGGGTGATGCCGTGCACCCTTCTGCGGCTTGTGCCGTGTCAACCTCTTGCTGTTCATGCACCGGCCACCCCAGAGCACCGCAACGCTGCCCGCTCTGTATTACAAGAAGGCGACCACTCTAGGAGGAGTCTGGCCACGTACCTCAGCATGTAGCAATTCCCGTCTTCTCCCTACGGGCTCGGCTGGAAAGAGCAAAATAAAAGAAGGGACAATGGTTTCAAAGACAAACAAAGAGAAGAAGGAACTGTTACATACAGCACTGATGTTACCTGTCTGTCATGGGTTTGGAGGGAAAGTTCCATCCTATGGGGAGTGGAAGGCGGGACATCAGGAGGAGGGGCTGTACTGTATATATATGTG